GGAGGAGATGCATCTGGTACTCAAGTTGGTGGCTGCCTCGGGGGACGGCGGTCAGCAGGGAAGAAGGCAAAGTGTTCTCTAACATCATTTTTGACGTTTCGCTAGTTTCATTCTTAAAAAACATAAAAATATTAACATGCTGACAGTTATAAATTCGGGGCAATAGACACCTGCATCTGTTCCATTATTCTTCGTACTGTTCTCTGTTGCTATGACTTCTTCACAAATAAAAACGGAGGTGCCAGTCTGGATTTTACAAAGCCCTACCTCCCCTTCTAATCATAACTCTCCAGGAGTGCCTCCAATTGGGGTGACTATTTCTGGGAGAACATGCTTTAACATTTCCACGAATAAGTAAAGGGAAAGAGCTACAACCTGCCAAGCTTAACCAAGATGACATCACTAGAATTACAGAGCCATTAGTCCATGAAGAGGCACGAGCTGATGGTCACAGCAAGAGCCAGGCCCTGCCATGGGGTCACAGGGGGTCAGCTGCATCTTCCTCACTGCTCACAGGACAGAGAGAAAGGGGAATTAAGCTCGCCCTCTGCAGACGCCCCCAGGTCAGCATCCTGCACGTGCAGGGTACAGAGGCCTCTGCAGTGGGGCGGGGCAGAGCAGAGGTGTGGAGCCCTGCAGACAGCACAGCCTAGGGGGTGGTCCCATCCGGAAGTAGCAGGAGGTACTCCAGTACCTGGAGTCCTGGCACAGGGAAGGGCCCTATGGGGAGCCCTGATGGACACAGGGTGATCAGGTGTCAGGTAGGGCGTGAGTGGAGGCCCTGACGTGTTCTGTTTGTCTGTGCAGTGTTTTAAATATTGGGAAGTTTCGTGGAAATATCCAGCTGTGAAAGCTCAGCTGATCTAGGGACATCGGGCCAGGGGGCCAGTCCCACGTATTCACTGACTACCCCTCCCCACCTCTGGGGTGCTCTGACTGTGGGAGCCACTCACAGCGAGCTCACATTCAGAGGAGACCCCCTGGGCAGCAGGCTCACTATGGAGGTGAGTGGGGCAGAGGCGAGGCAGGTGGGAGGGGAATGAATGCAACAGGTGGACTTGGTGATGCCGAGAAGGGCATTGGAGCTGGTGCCCAGCAGCAGAGGCTGAGGGCTCAGTTTGAACCAGGGCTGATGTGCAGCCCAGGTCAGTGTGGCCATCAAGGTTTTGAAACGGGAAAATGCTGACTTGTCAGCCAGCCTCTCTCTCCAGCCCCTTCCTTAAGACCCCTGTGACTTGGCATCGAGACCTGCTCTACCCAAATGGTAACCTCTATGAGATCCCTGGCATTTCTGCTGAACTGGTTTGAAAGTCACCTGAGCTTTAAGAGACTTTGTTCTGACCAATCTGTGTGATGACAGCCATCATGGTCTGGAGAAGAAGCCTTGTCCAGCATGTCCCAGGCCCTACCCCACACCCAGATCATCCCCTGGGTGGCATATGGCGGGCCTGCTACCATCCCACACTGCATCCCCTCCCCCTCCTCCCCTGCCCTGCCCCTGTCCTGCAGCCCCCACACAGATGGTACCTGAAGTCCAGGAAGGCGCAATATAGGAAGACATGGTTGCTCCCATTGGTGGCCTCACTGTACTGCTTACGAGTCTGAAATGAAAGAATACAGACTTGGTCAGTGATGCAGCTGGAGTGGCCAGCCCCTCAGAGCTGATGTGGGATCCAGCCCTCGGCCCGTGACCTGGGGTTTCAATGTGCACAGCCACTGGCTTTCCATCCCCATCCCTATTGGTCCCACGACACCTGGTCCACCTCACTCCCTCCTCTCCTTTACTCATGCTAGTACATATCTGGGTATCCTCTACCCCAGGGCCTTTGCACTGGCTGCACCCTGAAGCATGTACCTCCCCAAAGACAACCTGGCTCCTCCCACCAGTTCTCTGCTCAAGTATGAGTCCTCAGAGAGCTCTTCACCATATCCTTCCCTCTCATTTATTTTTTCACAGTATGGATAACCATGTGGCATATTGTTTAATATATTCAAATATGTAGTTACAATAATATGAGAACATTTACTTATTTGCTCGCTTCCCTTCTAGAATGTACAATAACAAAAAACAGAGCTTTGTCTGTCTTACTCACTGCCACATCCCAGAATCTAATGAGTGGCTGGCAGACAGCAGGTGCTTACTTAATCGTCAGATGAATGGACAAAGGAATGAGTGAGTGAGCAGGACAATGAGGTCATGGGGACGCATGCTCTCCTGGGCTGCTCCTGGCCAACTTCGGGGCTCTGCAGTGGGCTATGCTCTGAACAAGATGCACAGACTCCAGCCGGCTGCAGCAGGAGGCTCCAGGGCAGGGACCCCCATGGGAAACCGGGGCTCCTGAGATTAATGGCATCTAGTTGATTCCCTGTCCATCAGTTAAGCACCTCAGGTCTGACTGCCCCACACTCTATCTTCCTCCCCACACTCGGCAGCCTCCTAACCTTCCTTTTCAGGCCAGTCAGTCCTCAGCTCTATGCAGGACAGAGCAACACGGTACCCAACTAGCACCATCCTAGGGCTCGAGCTCCTCCTTCCCCACTGGGGATGCCTGGACAGGCATCTCGGAGTGGCTGCAGGGCCAAAGGGCTCACTGTGATTTTCCTCATCTCAGTCTGGGAGCTCCTCCGAGCTCTTCAAAGTACTCATTATTACCAGTATTTTCACAAAATGGAATCTTCACTCTTTTTGCTGCCACTCCCTGGTATCCTAGGTTTATTTTAATATATTATGGAGTCTCTTAAAACTGCCTGGAAAGGACGTTTTCTCCTCTGTCTTCCCAAAGCTACAACACACTGTGGACTGGGTGCTCAGACACAGAAAGCCCTGTGCCCCCATCACCCCGAGCCACAGACAAGCAAACAGGGAACTGTAACCCCAAACCCATGAGCTTCGGTGAGGAGTGGTGCTGAGGCTTCCTTGGCCTCCAGGCTGCCCTGGAGCCAGACTCGCCTCTGTGTAGCATCATGTGAAATTTATTAACAGGCAGGTGCATCTGTGTGTTACTTGTGTAATTTAAAAGACATTCTTAAAGCCAAACAATGAATCAGGAAAGCCGGCAGCTGGACTCATACACATCGACGCAAGCACTGGAGGCTTTTCCAGGACCAAAGTGAGACTCCTTCCTTCCTGACCTCCAGGCCTGGGGAAGGAGCCTCTCCCCTGGGGTGGAGCAGAGGCTGGGGTGGCCTCCGGAAGCCCAGACACTTCGACTGCCCCTCTCAATCACTCTTCAAAGGAAATTCCAAACCCAGCCAGCACCACAACAAGCCAAGTGTGTGTGTGGTCGGAAGGGTGGGGAAAGCAGAGAGTGTTTACTTGGGTCTGGGGCCAAGGTCACACCCTGAAATGGGGACTCACCCTCCCTCATTGTCAGAAGTTCCATCGCAGGATCAGCTGCTGGGATGGGAAAAGCAAATTGCCTCCTTCTGTGTTTGGAATTCACAGCCGAACTAGAACAAAGGTGCTCAGCAAGTCTCCCTAAAAGGAGGCCTCCCTAGAACAAAGGTGCTCAGCAAGTCTCCCTAAAAGGAGGCCTCCCGAGTTTCCCAGAGCACAATTTGGGGTGGCCTGCAGGAGGCGCACTGCAGAGGACAGAGGTGAGTCATCTGTGCAGGGCCCACACTTCACAGGGAAATGCAGAAAGCTCCAGCAGCTGTGAGCCTCCCAGATGCCTGAGCCAGAGATAAAAGCCATTTCAATCAGGCCGGGGAATGCGACAGGAGAGAAAGGGAGGCGACCCCACCAGTGCAGTCTTCACTGAGGCTGGAGGAGGTGACACCCTTGAGCTTCCTGCTGAGTCCTCCAGCTGAGCTGTGCCCGAGGGAAGCTGGCTCTGCCCCAAGTGGCTTCATTTTCCACAGGACACACTTCACTTAAGTGTGTCTAAAGAGGAGTATTGCACATACCCTCAAGAATATCACCTATAGATCTGGTTCTCCCTTCAAAGCACCATAATGATTTTGCCATTGGGGGAGAAGCAGCTGAGGGTTATCACCTGCCACTCATAAGCAGGTGCACAAAAGTATCCCCTTCTGGGAGACGCACATGGAGAGAAGAGAGGAATATGGTATTTAATGATACCTTGTTAGCGTTCCTTATTTAGATATTTGCTTGCTTTTTATTTGAGTACTGTGGTCTAGATGTGCCCCCCTCCCCAGAAGTTCTTGTCTTAGACTCTTAACTCTCAGTGCAGCAGTGAGGGTGGGTGGGTTGTAAGGGTGCAGCACTCAAAATGGACTCATGCCATTAACATGGGTGTGTGTGAGTTAACGCTATCCTGGGTGGACACGAGCACAAGCCTAGCTGGCTCTTGCTGCCTTTCTCTCCTGCTCTTCCATCATGAGATGAAGCAGCATCCCACCATTGTCAGATGCAGATGCCTGATCTTAGACTTTGCAGGTTCCAGAACCATGAGCCTGCTTTTCTTCACAAACTGCCCAGTCTTAGGTATTCTGTTATAGCAACAGAAAATGGATGAAGGTCATTAGATAGTTTTATCTATAAATAACAAAGGGAGATACTTGACCATCATGGTCCCAGGCAAAAGAGAGATGGCACCATAGTCTTTAAATTTGATCCTAAGCGAATCAGTACAAGGGGCCAAAATACTCCATGTCCAGAGCAGTGGGCAGGCATGGGCAGATCTCAGTGGAAGGACAAGGGCAGCTATGTGTAGCCACCCTCATCTCCAGGCCAGCTCACCTCACGACAAGCCAGGGTTCAGGGCTTTGAACACCTGGGATGCCCCACCCTGAGGGAAAGTGGAATAACAGAAGGATTGGGAGGGAAGAGACCAGAAGAAACCTGAAACTGCCTCAGTTTCTTGGTGTTTTCCAATGTCTCCTGCTGCCTAGGAGGTTGCGACAGCCACAACCTGATGGGCCCTGAGATATCCCTGAGTCCTACTGTCCTCTGCCAAGGCCTTTACACTGGCAGGGCAAGATGGGATGTGGGCAACCCCCAAATCATGGAATCTGAGGACAGGCTGATGAGTAGGGCTACCCCAATGCTGAGGGTGAAAGGTTAGGCCAGGCATCACCATGGACCTATTGACCGGAGGGCAGGGGCTCACCAGGGCTTTGCCACTGTGACCCCTCCATACAAATTGTCTGCATGTGGGGCACAGAGGACACCCGTGGACGCTGTGCTTAAGCCCTAGAATGCCATATTCAGCCCAGGCTGCTTTGGAACCACAGTTACCCTTCTGCCTATGTGTGATAACATTATCCAGGACACCCCATGGATACTGAAACAGGCACCCCTGATCTCACCTCTCCAGCCTCCCAGGCCCACAAGCCAGCAGAGGACCCTTTAGCCTTAGGCGGCTTCAGTAGGCTCCATCCCATAATGGGATGAGTCCTGACCACAGGATGCACAAATGGCCCCCATGCAGTGCTGATATGTGCAGATCCTTATTTTCAGATTATGGAGCCATGCCTTTGTCCTACAGAGTCACCTCTCAACCTTCTGACCTGCTACTGTCTTCCTCACATATAGCCAAAGTCACTCAGTGGAAGGGCAGGCGCGTGCAAGACATCAGCAAGGGTGGCAGCCACCTGAGATGCAGCAGGGTCAGAGAGACCCACTGACCCCCTTATTCAAGACCCTCCGGGAAATGTGGTGTTTGTAAAACTTCAAGGACTCAAGTTTTCTGCTCATTCATCGGCAATGTGGGACTCTGTGGTCTGGAGACAGGGTCACCCTCCAGCATGAATTAAGCTCAAAACCGTGTCCCTTCACAGTTCTCCAAGTCCCACTGTCCTCTGCTGAGCCCCAGGAATCTAGTTGGGGATAAGGGGACCCTGCAGACTCTTGACCCTCCCCTCCAGCTCACACAGAGGTCTGATGGTGGGGGAGAGAAACAAGCAGAGAGGAAATTGCTGTGATGTTTCAAAATCCAAAGAAAAAAACAAACTGAAACTGCATGGGGATCTGGAATTACAACGGCCTGCTCACAATTGAGCAGATAGCATGTTCGAATCCCTGCCCAGGTAACACCTGGTCACAAGGCTCTCGGTAGAAAGTGGGCAATGTGAGCCAGACCAGATCCCACGCACTGACCTGTGGGCTTGGCATTTAGCAGCCATGATGTCTTGAGAAACCTGCAGGAAGGCGGAGCATGAACCAAAGACCATGAGAGCCAGAAAGAAGGCACCAACATGTGGAGGACAGGGTGGACGTGGGTCATCCTGTCCATGGAGGCGGGTCAGGACTGCCCTACAAGGCCACTCCTGGGTGCACCAGGAGCTCTTGGGAGCCTCCCCTGCCCAACTATCTCCACCTGAAGGCTGAGTCCTGCACCCACAGGTGGTGAACCTCTTCCCTGTAGCAGCAGCAGCCAGTCCCTTGAGGCTAAGGGAGCTGTGGCCGAAAGCCCCAAGAACCAAGAGGGAGGCTCGGGGAGGCTCTTCAGGGCAGTGTCCTCTCCACGTGGTGCTATTGTCAGTCTTCAGAACAGCGCTGCAGGCAGACACTGCAAGCTTCTGCTTGTGGCTTCGCCTCTCTGGGGACAGACGCTGCCTTTCCTCATCACAAGGGTGGGTGAAGCCCTGATTGGTCATTAGGCCCGTGGTTATAGAAGGCAAGGGACTCTGGCCACCG